GCTCATTGTGCCTGTAAGCCAGGCTCTCCCATCTCTAAATGGACATGTGCCAAGGGTCTGCTTTACAGTTCATTGGATCAGATTGCCATGAAATTAGATCTTGACAAAAGCAGACCCACCAAGATTCTTCTGCTTCTGATGATAGGATGTCTTGGTACCTTGTACCTGCCTGGGGTAGATAAGTAAGAAAAATAAGTGTGTGAAATATGAATACAAACAGATATTTCCAGGCTGTGGTTTCAAATCAGATAGATGTTATTCAGCTGCAGATGAGGGGCTGAGGAAGTTGGCAAAGCAGAGAGCTGAAAAAAAGCTGATGTGCAGCAAGCTCTCTCATAAGATAGGAATGTACAGTAGAAGTCAGTGAGGTGTTAGCCTCTTGAATTAAATATTAGGGAATGAAAGAAGTGGCTAGTTGTGCTGAATGGGCAATTTGATGCTTGCTCAATTCTGTGGCTGTTGAAAAGTGCTCCCTGTCCTTGGTGACATCCATAGGAAATACCTTCCAGAGCGAGAAAGGAACCTTTGTAATGTGTAAGCAAAGGAAGAACTGGTGGCCAGGAGACCTCTTCCACCACCTCACTACAAGCAGCTGTGTGGGCCTTGCTTGCCCAAATGGCCTGGAGGCAACTGGGAAATTTTCTGCAGAGTTTTGCTGCTTTAATCTGTAAAAGAAGAAGGTCCAGAAGAGCATAGTACAGGCAGCATCTAACAGGCAATCTGGCCACCAGCATCTCAGACAGCAAGGGATTTTTCTGCAAAAAGAAGCTCTTAAAAGGAGTGGGAAGTAGGCCTCTTAAAAAGAGGACAACTGTAAGCCCACAGGATGCCCCCAAATGGATTCTGACCTTGTTAGGCCACTATTAAAAAAATATTAAAAAATTATAAAAAAACAAGAATATTTAAAATTTGTACATGAGAAAGGTAGTCTGTACAATGAACAGTCCACCACAGAGACAGGGTTTTCCTCCTGAGGTACCTGAAGGTGATGGTCTCACTTCCAGGCTGAAGTGAGTAAATGGGTGTGGGAAAGAAATGCAGTTACACAGACTACGTCTGTTTATATGCCTGTACTATAAGAATCCTTACGGCACAATATGCAGACTCATGCTCATGCTACGAGCTGTTTATTCACCTGTGTATAAGGTTCGTTTACTATCACTGTCGCTCTGATAAATTGGAAAAATAACCGAGTTCGGAAGTTGCACTTTTCCTACCGGGCCACTGAGTGTCACCATCGCTCCGTGGCTTGCTATGAGAGATGCTGTTTCTCCAGGGAATAAACCTCCTTTTCTTCAACGGCCTGGAATGGGAACAAAAAATAAAAATCACTGGAATGAAAATGGGCTGCTTCTTGCTTCTTCCTGGAGCTGGGAATAACCTCCTTTTCTATAACGGGTTAGAATGGGGAAAAAAAAATCACTGGAATGAAAATGGGCTGCTTTTTGTTTCTTCCTGGAGCTTGGAAGAGCTGAACCTAAAAAGTGAGCTATCTATGAAATGAATTCTGCCTTATATGTAGGCAAAGCATTTGACAGGTTTCCAGCCAGACCCTCTAAGCCAGTCTTACAATTTACAGCATGATCTTCAGTGACAACAATTATGAGACTGAATAAGTGCTTTCTTGGGAGACACTAAAAAGGCTGGGATCTCATCATTTGGTGAGCAGAATTTGTTGAGAAGATGAAGTATTGATATTTACAAATATAATGATGGTGATGGATAAAGTGAGTGGAAAATTCAGAAAATGTTTCCACGGCAGATCGGGCGTGTGTGATAAAACTAGTTGGTAACCAATTTAAAACAAATAAAAAGGTACCTTACACCATAAGAACCTACTGCTACAGGAGGTATGGAAGCCAAAAATATCATCAGGTTCAAAAAGCTCATAGACAAACCAATGGAAAGTTTGTCCAAAGCAAACAGGTTGTGGGGTATTCTCCACCATTCCTGCTACTATGCTTGCATGTGGGAGCAGAACAAGGGGAATGGACTCCAGGTATTGGCCAGGTGCTCCAGCTTTCCCTGAAAAGTATTAAGGGCAGCTGGACCTGATGGACTGAAAGGTCCAGTGGCTTCCTTTTTTTCCTGGGTCAGTGGAGGTGAGTGAGAGCTTACTTGTTTCACACCCCAGCTACAGCAGAGTGCAACTCCACAAAATACATGCACACCCAGGTTAATGCTGACAGGAGACAATACTTCGGACATACCCATATCAGCACGGTGTCACTGGCCTGATCCTGTTCCTAAGGATCAGTACTCAGAGAAATGTGCTTTCATATGTCTCAGGCTTTTGGCCCTATAAACCTTTCATCCTACTTGCTGACTGGGCAGACCACATGCACACAAAAAGAGCACAATAACACGGGAAACAATTCAAATAATTTTTTAAAAATGTAATGCAGGCTCCGACGATCAGACACAAAACTTATGCAGACAAATATATTGATTGCATTTGACTGGCTTTGTTTATCCCTACCTTCTCTCCATTTGATCCACCTTGATCCCTCCATTTCCCTGCCTGTGATTTTTACCCCAAGCATACCAGTGCAGTTTTGAAAACCCTAAAATTCTCTTTATTGGTTCCAACATCCCCCCACAGCTGCTAAGTACACCCCCCCTTCAGTCCTAAAGCCTCTTTATTGCAGTATTTTCCCCTAGTCCTATTGCAGTAACTGCCCTTCGTTTGCATACATTCCAGAGTTTCCTCCTTTGAATCCACTTCAGTGGGTTTTGCAACTGGGACAAATAGCTTAGTCGTTCATCCAGTTGTTGGGGCTTTTAGGCGTGGTTGATTCACAGAGATTACTGTTTGCTGGGTTTCCTGCCTTGTCATTGTTTCTTTGTTCACTGTCCGACCTTTTGTTTTGAATAACCTTAAATATCTCCTTGAAAATCAGCCAGACAGCTTTCCATCTGAATTGAAAAAGAACCCTCAGCATTTAGAGCAAGTATGTTTAGTAACAGACCAAATGCCTGCCGGTAAGGTGTGTTTTGCTGCTTTTCTGGCAGCAGCAAACATTCTGTGGTTCTAAGTCAATGGGAATTGACTGCAGTTCATAATGGCAATATTTTTCCTGTGAACTGATAGCCCAGGACTGTCATTACAGTGCCAGATGCAACTTTCTTGCAACATGAAGCTCAAACATGCAATTTGAAGGAGTATTTGTGCTGGTTATAGCCTAAGTAGTGCTTGAGTTTCTGCACCTTGTACATGAAGAAGGAGCGTGACTCATTCCTTTTGTCTGTTGCTGCATCACACTTGTCCTTGATGCACGTGATGGCATTCTGAAAGGAAACTCACCAGCTCTCATCAAAGATGAGCCACTGGGCTGACACGATGGGCATTTATTTTCTTAGAAACAAATATGGTGATCACAAAATCATAGCATGCTTTGGGTTGGAAGGGACATTAAAGATCATCTGGCTCCAAACCAGTAAGACATGGGCAGGGACACCTTCCACTAGATCAGATTGCTCAAAGCCCCATCCAACCTGGACTTGAACAGTTCCAAGGTTGGGGCATCCACAGCTTCTCTGGGCAGCCTGTGCCAGTGCCTCACTTCCCTGACAGGAAATAATTTCTTCCTAATAGCTAATCGAAACCAGCCCTTCTTCAATTTGGAGCCATTGCCCCTTGTCCTGTCACTACATGCATACATACCTCCTCTCCACTTACCTTCTAAAGATGAAATCATTACAGTTAAAAATTCCTAAATTCACCATAATCAGTCACTCACACCCTAAGCCAGACAACTGACAGGCAACAAACTGATGCTCTTTGAGAGTAATCAAGAGAAGCAAGGTCCAAGTGCCCACACAGCCCAGGTTCTCTTCTAAAAGCTGCCAGCAAGCTCTGGCGCTGTTTTTTAAATTCTGTTCAGGCAGGTTTCCACTGGGCACCTCTACGTGTGCTCTACACATGTAGAAGGCAGAAAACGTTCTGCTGTGTCCTGTTTGTTCATCAAAACTTCTTGCATGTACCAAGACAAACAGTTTACAACCTATTCGTCTCCCAGACAGCCAGCAACAGGACGAGAAGACAATCTTTAGCTGTGTCAAGGGAGGTTTAGGCTGGACATTAGAATTTCTTCACAGAAGGGGTGATTAGACATTGGAATGGGCTGCCCAGGGAGGTGGTGGAGTCACTGTTCCTGGAGCTGTTTAAAGAAACACTGGATGTGGCATTCAGTGCAATGGTCTGTTGACATGGTGTTCGGTCACGGGTTGGACTCGATGATCTTAGAGATCTTTTCCAACCGAATTGATTCCGTGATACACAAAACGACTAACGTTTAACGAAGTCCATCAGCCTCCAGAAGGACGGACAGTAAAGCGAGCCCCAGCACAGGGGACACCGCTCAGGCTGGCGAAGACCCTGTCTGCGACTCTCATCAGCACCGGGCCGCCTCGGTGCGAGCCCCGCGGGCACAGCAAGCAGCCGCGGGCGAGGAGCGGGGCCGGGCCGCTCCCGCCGCCGGACCGCGTCCCGCCCGGCTCCCGCTCCCGTCACCCGGGCAACGGGCAAGCGGCGCCCAGGGAAGGCACCACGTGCCCGGAAGCGCCTCGAGGGAGGAAGTGACGGAGCGCCGGGGGAGCGCCAGAGGCCGAGATTTAAAAGGGAAAAAAAAAAAAAAAAAAAAAAGAGGAAACCAACAAAAAGAAAACCCGAAACAAAAAAAGGAAAAAAATGTATTAAAAAGCGGGATAAGGGGAGAGGGGCGGGCGGAGCGGGCGCGGGTCCCGCCCCCCCCGGGGCCGCCCCGCCAGACCGCGGCCCCGCCGGAGCCGCCGCCAGGTCCCGCCCCCGGCCCCGCCCGCCCCGACACCGGAGCTGCCGCCCCGCCCCGCCCGCTCAGCCGGGCCCGGCTGCCCGCGCGCGGGGGGCGTGTCGGGCGCGGCGGCGGCGGCGGCGCGGGGGCTCCGGTGCGGCGGCGGCAGCGCGGGTCCCGCGGGCGGGCGGGGGGCGGCGGAGCGGAGCGGGGCAGAGCACAGCAGAGCCGAGCCGAGCCGCGGCGGCTGCAGGTGAGGCGGGGCCCGGGGCGCGGGCGGCCGCGGCGGGGAGAGTTCCCCGGGGCCGGCGCGGGATGGAAGTTGACAGCGGCGGCGGAGCAGCCATTGTCTGCCCGGCCCGGCCCCGGGCAGCTCCCCCGCGCAGCGCCGCTCCCGCCCCCGGGCAGCCGCCGCCCGGCTTCGGGCATCCTGCGGCGCATCCCGCCTCCCGCCGCGGCGGGGCTGCGGGCACGGCACGGGCGGGCAGGGCGCCCGCACGCCGTGTCGGATGAACTTTGCTGCCGGAGTTGCCGGCGGCCTGGGTGGCTGCCGCCGCGCTGTCCTCTGCCATCCTCCCCTCCTTCCATCCTTCCTTCCCTCCCGCCGCCGGCCGGGCGAGGCGCTCGGCGGGGAAAGGCGGGCTGGGCACCGAGGGGTGGGGACCAGGTGGTGCGAGGGTCCTGCAATGCACCCACTGATGCTTCCAGAGCATCCCAGAGCAGAGTCAGCGTGTCCCGGCAGTCCCACACCTCTGCTTGTGTGTCTGGGAAACTGTTGTAGGAACATATAATAACAGCAGCGAGTATGCTGTAGTCCTGGCTGCTAATTTTTCTCCCGCAAACCTGTGGTGTAAACCCTCAAATCTTATGTGTTTCCTAACTTAGTTTCTCAAGAATGAAGTGATAAAACCACTTAGAAAGCTTGGAAATGTTCTGTAGGCAGCAGTCATCTCCCGAGGGGAATGGATGGGGTGAGCAAGTAAAACTTTTCTACCTCCTACCTTGTGCTCAGTGATTCGAGTATTGTTTGCCTTGACTTTTGTCTGCCCTTGTGCTTGAGAAAGGTCAGGAACTTGTAGATGGGCCACCTGTGGTGTTCTCGGTGTGTGCTGAGATCAGCAAGTGTGGATTAGGCTCTGGAGTGGCCCATGTTCTTGTGCTTGTACTGCTGCCTAAGCCAGTTTTCTCCCTTCTCCTTCCCATCCTTTCTGCTGTGTGGTCATTCCTGCCATGGTGCTAAAAAGCTTTTGTATCCTTCTGTGTCTGACTTTTAGGGGTGCAGATCTAGCTGTTGTTCGAAGGTTAATTTCCAGTAATGGCCACATTTTAACTGTGGGTTGGGGTTTTGTTTGTTTGTTTGTTTGTAAAAATCATGGTTTAATAATTTTTAGTGGGTTATCCATCTCACTGAGCAGCTAGCTGAGTCAAGTGATATGGTAAGCCAGTGATCACTAGTTTTTTGTAGGAGGAAGGTGCTTGAGGATGCAATTCTCCTATTTTGTGTAGAAGTGGCTTGTATTTGGATCGGATTACACTAACATGGAGCTGCATCCTTAGATGAACTTGCTTGGGTGAATGCTGTGCCTTTTCATTTTTGTGTTTGGAAGGGGTGTTGCTGCATAACTCTACTTGATGTGAGTGACTTCAAATTCTTACTTCCCTTCTGCAAAGGGAGCATATGCTTCTCTGTCCACATCTCCAAAAGGCCTCTTGCCTACAGAGGCCAGAATTTTTCTATGCCTCATGCCAGAGGTGTTTCAGTAAGATTCTGTTTGTGTTAGGACCTAATTTTAATAAGATCTAGATCAATATGGAACTCTCAGAAATGCTGGAAATCTTAGGGATCAGTGGTGCTGCTCACTGAGGAGCAGAGCACCAAGGCAGAAGCCTGGTTTCTCCTGGTGAAACTGTTCAGGGTAAGGGTATTTGCTGTAGCTAAGGTGAACATTAGTTGCATCCTTTCCTCTCTCATGGGCACTTGTGGCATCACGAGTAAGGTAATTCAACTCAGTGATCTGGCAGAAAATAGGGTTTTAGGGTACCTTTTCTGCAGTTAGAAAGTTGATCTAATGAGCACCAGAAGTGAGGTGAATGAGGAGGATCTGCATGGGGAAGTTGAGGGTGGGCAAGAGAACATAAATTGTCTCCTAATGGCTACTAGATATGATGCTTCACATGCATTTTATCCCCACTCAAAGTACTTGATTTATCCACCACAGTTTCATTCTTTCAAAAAGTCTGTATTCTGTCCCTTCTCTTTGTTTATTTTCAGGCTTCATTTATTTTTTCCCCTCTGGGGAAGATCTTTAAGGCAGTTGTTTCTCCAAGAGCTTTTATATTCTAGGTAGGTTTATTGACCAGCTGTTTCTAGGAGGAAGTGTGTCTCAGTTGAGGAGAAGGTGGCCACTGCTGAAGCAGTGCAGGATGCCAGTTTTGGATCAGCAGGGAGATGCCTGGGCAGGGCTTGAGGGCAGAGGTGAAGATGTATTTGGAAGACCAGAGTGGAGCAGCAGCATTCTGCTTGCCAGTTAAAGAATTTTCCAGATTTTGAGGAGCAGGTTTGAAGCAGCAGTTCCCTGATTAAGCCACCCATCCTCTGCAGTGTTAATACTGTTGCCCTACTTTAAAGTCATCTGCTGTCCTTAACACCATTTCAGAATTTAAAAAGTTTTCTGGCTGAGACTATTGTTGCACCTCCTTTTCTGCTGCACTGGTCTGTTTGCTTATACACCAGGAAAATGTTTGGTGAAGGCTGTAAAGCTCAGAATCTCTGGATAAAAAAATTACTAGATAAAGGGGCTGTGCTGGTGCTCTGGCTCCTGGAAGCTCATTTACAGGGGTCTTATTTAGAGGCTTCAGATATTCTACAGAGGAACTGGCTGGTACTTAGACTGTTGGTGATAAGACTTACCAGAAATATATTTTTTTAAAATCTTACATGGAGTTTTAGCCTTCTAAAAAGTCAAGTTGTTTTTTATTTTCCAGTGGAATTCTGTTGAATAATCACTTTTGCTCTCTTTCCTGACTCCAGCCCCTCCTGCTGCTGCTACTCCCTGTGTAGCTCATGTTTCTTGCTGCAGGAAACTCCCTGATCCTCTCAGTGTGCTACTCTTCTGCTAAGAACTCTCTTCAGTCTCACTTCTCTTCCTCTTGGCTGATGAAAGCCTTCTCCAGTCCTTTCTCAGTCCTGCAATTCACTGCAGCTCATCTTTCTGCTGCTGGAAGATCTCCCTGGTTTTGCATGACCTCTTCAGCAGCCTTTGCCTCTCAAGTGTTGCCAGTGAACACTTCATCCATTCTGCTTCTGACTCTGTTCCTTCTGAAAGAAACTTGCCACCATAGATACCAGCTTCTAATCTAATAGTTGAGATCTGTTGGGAGCAACAAGTAGCTGGAAAGTTCATGTGATCAGAAGAAGAGAGAGCAATTTGCTTCAGTTTGTTCGCTAGTCTCTCTTGAAAGGAGAGGTGGTCAGGTCTGTAACCAGACTTGTTTCAGTGAGCTGCAGCTGCTCCTTCATTCCACTACCTCTTTAGGAGTTCAGGATACCGTAGCTTGCAATTATAACATGGCAATAAAAATATGAAAATACACGCATTACATTTCTGACGGTGGTAATAAAAGATTGACACTGTGAGTATGATTTCTGGGTGATTTCCGAATCCCAGTTTCCCTGGTCTCTGGTGTATCAGAGCTGTGCAGGGAGCCTGGTATTGAGATATTCTAGTACAAAGGCTGTGTAATGTAGTAAAATACAGTTTGGTTCTTTCTGTAGCCTGACTTAGTTTTCAATTCTTTCAGTGTAGATCTGGAGTCCATCTCAGCCTGAGCTCCTGGGTTCCTGTCGCCATGGAGACCGAAAGTGAGCAGAACTCCAACTCCACCAGCGGGAGCTCCAGTTCTGGAGGAAGCACCCGTCCTCAGATCTCGCAGATGTCTCTGTATGAGCGACAGGCAGTACAGGTGAGACACGGGTATGCTCTGGGATGGCACTGCATCACTGGAAGGTGGTGGTGAGCCCTCTTGTGTTCCTCTGCCTTGCTGTGTGTCAAGGTGGGACCATTCTCAGATGACTGGCATTTTTTCATATTTAGAAATTCTTATGCTAGGCCTGATGTTTAGTTCTTTGTAGCCTGAGGCTTCATGTTTTGTAGGTTACTCCTTTGGTGTCCAACCTCCTAGATGTAATCCTTACTGTGATCCAATAGATTGGTTTTAGCCTGCTGTTCTAGAGAAAATCAGTTTGCCATCCCAGTTCCTCTATGCCCTCCATACACTAACTACACAGGAATACTTGTCTGCCTGTGTGAGCACGCACATCCCCATATTCCTCAAGCTCATTAAAGTCTTGCAAGTGTGATTCCCACTGTCCTAGAATACACTTGTGATTCAATATGTTACCAAGTTTGTAACTGTACTACAGATTTGGACGTGCTAATCTGGTACCTGCTTTTTCATGTGATCTAGGGATGTTTTCATGGCTGTTACTTACTTCTTCATTGCTCTCTTCAATCATATTTCAACAGCATGCAATTTTTGACAGTGGGTTTTCTTCTTTATCTAGGCCCTGCAGGCACTCCAGAGACAGCCCAATGCAGCCCAGTACTTCCATCAGTTCATGCTCCAGCAGCAGTTTAACAGTGCCCAACTTCACAGCCTGGCTGCTGTCCAGCAGGTGAGTTGCCAAGAGGCAGAAGGAGAGGTGCTGGATCATTCTCTGAGGAAGATTCAGAGGTTCTGTTTTTATACAGGGCCTTGTGCACCGAGTCATCCTGATCCCCGATGAGACTAAGAGTCCTTAAACACATTTAGAGTTAATACAGACAGCCAGTCAGCTGGAAGCCTGAAGCAAAGATTAATTTGGTTTTTTTTTGGTACAGAGCAGGGGAAGATAAAATTTGGCATCCCCGTCAAGGAACTTGAACTTCAGAGGCCTATGACTACCCCCTGCACCTTCTTTAAATAAAAGATGGGTGGTTAAATCAGCAGTGGATGCAGTAGTGTTTGCAAACTGTATTAAAGGGAACAGTGGGTTGTTAATTCTCTGAGAATAAACGTTTGTTTTTGCATGAAATTTCAGGCAGCATCCTTTGAAATTTCGGTCTTGGAACTTAGCAGCCATGTTTTCTTTACCAGCAGGAGGGTAAACCTGTCCAACTAGATGGCTGTTTCTAATTGAGACATATACAGATCAATATAAATCAATATATTTTATGATGTATAATTGTTGAGTGACTTTTTTTTTCTTTATCAACTTTGCTCACCTACTAGACTTAATCATCAGTTCAAAATGGATTATGTGTGATATGAATACATTCTGTTTCTGTAACGACAGCTCAGTAGCTGTACTCCTTGGCAATTACTCCAGAATGTCATTGTTCTCAAAATTCCTGACTGCAGTCTTACAGTATAGAAGAAGTAGAATCCTCTCATCAGTTTTGCACAAATCTTAGTTATAAAACTAACTAAACTCACGCAGAGGAATTCCCATGGCATCAGAGAGGGGGAAATAAATCTATCAATGTTTATGTTCTTCCACAAACCATATGCTCTCTAATCTGAATTTTGTTACTTGGAGTGCTATCATTGCATTGCTACTAAACTGCCTAATTAGCCCAATAAATTGTTAATATTGCAGGGAATGTCTGGGTGTTAACAGTGGATTTCAGCATCGGGGTGAGGGTTGCAGTGTGTGGTATGATAAGCTGGGCAAGAGTAGTGCCTGTACCCATGGGTGGAAGGACTTGAGGGCATACACTCTGAGGGTAAGGGGCTAGGTGTTCTGACAGAGTCAAATAATTGGGCTGGATTGAAAAATTTGTTCAGGCACTCATTTCTCTGCCAATCTCTCTTGCAGGCTACGATTGCAGCCAGTAGACAGGCCAGCTCCCCCAACACTAGCACCTCGCAACAGACCACCACCACCCAGGCTTCTGTAAGTAAAACTGCTTCCTCACACACATATCAAAGCCTCCCTCCCACTCCCCGCCTTGTTCTGTCTCCTCCTTGTCTTTTAGGATGCACACAGCTTCTAGTAATCTGGGAATGAACAAGATACAGACAACTTTGAGGATTTGGGGTGCTGTTGTTATTGGTGGGGCTTGAGGAAACCAGATAATGTTTTTGGGTGGGAGAGGCCTCTTAGCTGGAAAGGTAGACATGGATCTCTGTTTGCTGAGGCTTTGGGGATACATTGTCATGGATTAGAAAAGGATCAGGAGTTGTAATAAGGAGTTGTGAGCAGCTTTTGTCTTAGGCAGAGCAGTAGTTTGTTGAGTGAGAGGATGTCTGGTTTGTAGTGAGTGTTGAGGAGCTTGGATTTGCTCAGAGAATAGATGAGGTAGAGAAAGTTTTGTGGGGTTTTTTCCTTTACTTGGGAGACTGGAGAAAATGATGTATTTTTTTGGATCTCTTATTGCAGTTGCATGCTAACAGTGATTGTCAAGCTCAGCATACAAATGAGGTCAGTATCCAGGGCTTTGGCTAATTTAGATTGTGTAGCCTGTAGGACAAGCCCTCTAAGACAAGAACTTTCTTCTTCTTGGTCCCCTGTGGGATACAGGGAAAAAGTGTCAAATGTCTGTTCTGACTGTACCCCACTAAGCATATTTGTACTAATTTCTTGGCCTCCATCTCTTCATATGTGATTTGAAACTTTTTTCTGTTCTAAGATCAACCTTGCCACCACCTCAGCTGCTCAGCTGATCAGTCGGTCCCAGAGTGTGAGTTCCCCGAGCGCCACAACGCTGACCCAGTCTGTGCTTCTGGGGAACACCACATCGCCGCCCCTCAACCAGTCACAGGCACAGATGTACCTTCGGGTAAGAGATGTGCATCAGAATGTGTCCTGACCATGAGCCCCGCTTACCAGCCACTGCACAGTTTTGCTGCTTGGGATTACCAATGCTTATGGACTAACCTAGCTTTGAGGATGTTGCAGTATATTTTAAAATTCCGTGGGGAAGCCCTCATCCTTGAAACCACAAGTTTGATTCCAGGCTCAGCCTATGAGGTAGATGAGCTTTGTATTGTGTGGCTCAGGTGAGCATGTTAACAGCTGTGTGTGTCTCTGCTCTGCACAGATGTTAAAGGTTCCATAGCACTTCTCACTAGAGTGTAAATGTGAAATATATGTCCTAGACTTGAATGTAGCTCACTCTTGAATAAAGCTACTCTTCTGGTTCAGTGCTGGAACAGATACATGGTAAATTACTCTTCTACTGCTTGCTGAGCTCAGAGATGTAACTCAGAATTCAAGTAAGCCTAGACAAATAAATCAGTTTGAACAAATGTCATCCTTTTAATTGCTTTGAAGTGCAGCTAGGTAGAAAACATTAGGCTTGACTGTGGAGTTAGTCTGGGGTTTGGTTACCTACTTGCAAAATATTTCTGTTTTTCAGTTGACTTCAGATACAGATTTTAATCCCCTTCATTTCAAGCAGCACTAATCTTGGATGCATGTTTATTATCGCTGTTGTTCAACCAGTTCTGGATATACAGCCTTGGGCAGTCTGTGGGAGTTAGCCCAGGCCTATGTTTGATAGAAGAGTGCTTGTTTCCATAAGGAAGCTGTTCCAGTTTCTTCCTTTGGAGGGTTATGTTCAGTGTTACAGTGCAGGGAGGGTTGGTGATTTTGCAAGGTGTGACATTGCAGCCTGGTATAATCTTTTATAATAATCCTTTATAATCTGTTTCCTTGTGGTCTTTTTGTCTTCCTTTTTCTCTTCTACCTCCATTCCTTTCATTCCACATCACTTGATGCTCAACAGCCACAGCTGGGGAACCTGTTGCAGGTGAACCGGACCTTGGGTCGCAATGTGCCTCTCGCCTCCCAGCTCATCCTGATGCCCAATGGGGCTGTGGCTGCTGTCCAGCAGGAGGTACCACCCACACAGTCTCCTGGGGTCCATGCAGACACAGACCAGGTCAGTGACCGCCCCCCCTCCCAGTATCCTCTCTTTCCCCTGCTTCTGCCACACCACACTCTGGTCTTTGTCTCAGGCTGTCCCTGTGTGGTAGATTAGAGCTATTTTTTATCCCCAGCCCATGTCCCTGTGCAGGCAGGAGATTTTGTCACCATGTTTTCACGTTTGCTTTTTGCCTCCAGAGATGAGATTAATTTCTGCTTAAAATTTCTGAGGTGATCACAGGCTGGATCAATCCCACTTTCTCAGTTTCTTGGTTGTGATTGTGTGAAAAGAACTCTTGAGTTTTATGTGCAGTTTTCTGTCACTCTGCAATTAAGAGTCTTTGCCAGAGGTAACATTCCTTCATCCAGTTGGTTCATTATTGTAAAGATGCCAAAGACTTGTCTGAAGCAATTTTTGTGAAGAAAAGTCAGCTGTGATCAAATTTTGGAGATAATGTGGCATTTGGAGCGGAAGTAAATATGGCAGCACTAAAATACAGAGTGAAGTTGGAAGGGGTGCAGGCCATGAGTAGACATGAGGGCCTGGGGCAGGCAGGAGGCACAAAAATTGAAAAGGAATGACTAGTCTTTAAAAGGGGTATCTCAGTGCTTCTAGAGCCATGTTGAACTGTATCCTGCCAATGCCAGGGTATGGCAGGCAGGTCTGGAGGCTATCCCATGCCCTGGAGACAGATGGTGTCCCCATATCCTGTTCACAGAGTGCCGTGAGATTTTTAATTCCCATCAGAGATTAGGCAGAAGAGAGTTCAGGATAATGTGCCTCCTGGGGAGGGCTGTGCTGAGCTTTGTCCTGCAGTGTTAGCAGCTCCTCATACGAGATTTGAGGCATCGACTCAGCCCGCATGCCAGCAGGGCGTGTTGCTTACGCGTGGTCTGTCACACTTCTGGCAAGCATCATGTATAAAGCGAACGGGTTCTGTTTGGTGTGTGTGTCTCTAGGTGCAGAACTTGGCTGTGAGGAGCCAGCAGACCTCTGCCACTAACGCCCAGCTCCAAGGCTCTGCTCAGAAGACAGCCCTGCCAGGAAGCTCCCAGGCCTCGGGCTTACCGCAGGCCACCAGCACAGGCCAGACCATGGCGGTGGCCCAGGCCTCCTCCAGCGGGGCGGGCCAGTCCCTCAACCTGAGCCAGGGAGCAGCGGGCAGCAATGGTATCTCCGGAGCTGTGGTGGCCAGTGGTGGGAGCCAGCCCTCAATGGGACTGAGCCAGAGCTCCTCGGCAGGTGCCGCTGGCAGTTGCCAGAGGAAAGGCACCGGGGTGGTTCAGCCATTGCCGGTGGCGGCTGCCCAGGCTGTGACTGTCAGCCAGGGGAGCCAGACAGAGACAGAGAATGCAGCTGCAAAGAAGGGTGACACAGACAGTGGTGGACAGCAAACGGTGGGCATGAACCTCACCAGGACCGCTACACCAGCACCCAGCCAGACGCTGATCAGCTCAGGTAAGTGCTCTTCTGTTTCTTTTTCTCTTCAAAATCATTGGGCCTTCACAAGAATGACATTTGGAAGCCTGGTGATAAAAGGCTTTCCAACACATCTCCCAGCTTCTGTCCTCTCAGACTTGTCTCAAGGGGTTATCCCTTTCTGTTAGCACAAGAAGTTGCTTTAATCCCTCATGTCCTCTGCAAGTAAGATGTCAGTCATTTTGGAGTTGAATGTCTCAAACCATTGCAGTGCTGCCTTATTTTTGTTGTTGTTCCCCGCTGCACTGTTGCTAACTGTTGTGCTCTGTTTTTTCTTACTCTGTTTTTCTGTAGCAACATACACGCAGATCCAGCCACACTCACTGATCCAACAACAGCAGCAGATCCATCTGCAGAAGCAGGTGGTGATCCAGCAGCAGATAGCCATTCATCACCAGCAGCAGTTCCAGCACCGCCAGTCCCAGCTCCTCCACACAGCCACCCATCTGCAGCTGGCTCAACAGCAGCAGCAGCAGCAGCAGCAGCAGCAGCAAGCAGCATCTCTGACCCAGCAGCAGCAGCAGCAAGCTCAGCCTCTGCAGCAGCAGGCTCCCCCTCAAAACCAGCAGCAGGCACAGACCCTTGTGGTGCAACCTATGTTACAGTCCCAGCCACAGCATTTACAGCTCCAGCAGGACAGTCCGTGCCAGCCAGCCACCAAGTCACCTGTTCCTATTCAGTCAAAATCCCTGGTCACCCCCATCAAACCCCCTCAGCTTGGGCCTGCCAAAATGTCAGCAACACAGCAGCCTCCTCCACACATCCCAGTGCAGGTGGTGGGCACTCGGCAGCAGGGCTCAGGTCAAGCCCAAGCGCTGGGCTTGGCTCAGATTGCTGCAGCAGTGCCGACATCCCGGGGAATGCCAGCTGTAGTCCAGCCTGTTTCCCAAACCCATGCTGCTTCCCCATCATCATCTTCAGCTCCAGCATCCTCACAGGAAGCTCCCCCTCTCACCACAGGGGTGAATTTGGCACAAGTTCAAGGCACAGCCCACATGGTGAAGAGCCCAGCTTCCTCTCCAGTTGTGGCTCAGATGCCAGCAGCATTCTACATGCAGTCTGTCCAGTTGCCAGTAAGTGATACCATTGAGAAGGAGAATAGCATATGGATTCTCTTTGTTCATTCCTAGGACACCAATCGCAGTCCAGGCCCAGGTCAGTGGGATGGGATGGGTAAGGGGTTTGGGGAAAGGGATGTGGAGACTTTTTTACCCTCAAAACACTAATTCCAATCCAACCCCTGGGGTTACTGACTACAAGCATTTCTCTTCCACATTGTCATCCAAAGGCATGCATGAAGTTAACAGGTGACACTCGGAGCCTGCCCCAGATGGGGGTGGGTGTCCACATCCCATACCAAGTATCCCATTTAACAGTTGGGTTTGGTTGACCTTGGCTGGCTGCTGGATGACCACCAAGTTACTGCCTTATCACTCCCCCTTCAGAATATGACAGGAGGAGAAAAATACAGTGAAAACATTGTGGGTTGAGATAAGGATGTGGAGATCACTTTCCAAGTACCATCATGGGCAAAACAAATTCAGTTTATAGAAATTATTTTACTGCCAGTTTAGTGTAGCGTAATTGAACAAATGCAAAAAACACCCTCCCCCTTCCTCACACCCTCAGCTTCACTCCTGACTCTTCTACCTCCTCCCCCTGAATGGTTCAGGAGGAAAAGAAATGGAATTTGTGGTCAGCTCATACAGTTTTATGTCTCCTTGATGGTTTTCCCTTGCTTTAACATGGGGGAATCCCTCCCATGGCATACAGTCCCTCATAAAGTACTTCTCCATTGTGTGTCTTTCCCACAGGCTGCAGTTTTTCATTAACTGCTCCAGTGTGGATATTTCTGGGTTACAGATCCCTTGGTGTGTGGTACCAGCCACTGACTCTAGGCCTCAGAGGATCCCCTAGCAACAGGCCATGCTGTGGAAAATTCAAATTCCGTTGGCCTTGTCTGTGCTGTTGTGAATTTTCCAGCTAGGTCCTACCTAAATCCCTGAGACAGCAGCACTGTGCAAGCTCAGATCATGGAATCCTAAATAATTGGAGTTTAAAAGAGCCCTAAGGATCATATAATTCCAACACCCCTGCCATCGGCAGGGGCACCTTTCAGACTAGGTTGCTTTATCCAACTTTGCCTTGAACAACTCCTTAGCCAGTTGCCAAGACTTTTTCTAAACTCTGTCTGCTTCTTCAGGAAGGTGTCACAGGATTTGTCTTGATTTTTAGAGCAGAGGGACAATTCTGCTCTTGGTGAATGTGTGTCCCCTACTCTTTCGACTCTCCGTTGAAACTGGCCTGATTTATCCAGAAACCTGTTTGGAAACTGCTGGGTGAATGCCATTCCATTTCTTCTGCAATAATCCTTGATGTTCACACAGTGTCTTGGTCTTATACCAGTGTATCAACATGACTTGGGATGCCAGATCCTAGTCTGTAACATGGTAGTGAGTCTTTTCAAGTTTTGTTCCTTGCTAGGCAAATGCTCCCAAGTAGAGGTGTGTACTGAGGGAGCTAGAGGCATCTCCAGACGCAACCAGGCTGGAAATCAAGTATGATGGATGGAGCAGGATTTTTTTTTTTTTGGTGGTTTGTTTTGTGGGTTTTTTTTGTTTTGGTTTTTTGGGTTTTTTTGGTTATTTTTTTTTGTTTTGTTTTTTTATCTGGCTTGTTCTTTGCTTTGGAGCTTTTCTATCTGCTTACGTGTTCCTCTTTATTCATGCAGGGCAAATCTCAGACCTTGGCAGTAAAGCGCAAGGCAGAGTCAGAGGAGGAGAAGGAGGAGCCACCCAGTGTCACCACACTCCTGCCTGCCAGGTCCTCTCCTGTAACAGACAGCCCCAAAAACATGGAGGAGAAGAGTGGCCTTGGAGGTGAGGTACAAAGGAGAGCTCTGCTTGTGTGTGCTACTGACCTGAAGTAGGTGGAGCAAAGGTAACTGACTCCTGTGCTGTTAACTTTCCAGATAATTCTGATACTGCTGCCATTGCAACCCCAAATGCCACATCAAGTGAAGGAGCCTCAGCCACCCCCACCTCTGCTCCCACCCCAAACCTGGCACTGGTGTCACGTCAGATGGGAGACTCCAAACCTCCTCAAGCCATCGTCAAGCCCCAGATCCTCACACACATCATTGAAGGCTTTGTCATCCAGGAGGGAGCAGAACCCTTTCCAGTAGGGATTTTTTTTGTTGTGGGGGAAGGAGGTGTAGCACTTTCTTGGGAGGGTGTTGGGCTTCCATCTTTGCATACGAGTATCTTTCCCCATATTCCAATTCAGCATTTTTAGCCTGAGACACAGACAGTAAAGAGGAAGGGAAGGGAGGTGTCGTGAATGAAGCAAGGCATTAAGAGTTGTCATTAAAGAGAAGGGATTTGAGGGAGTAAAACAAGTGTTGCAGCAACTGCTTACTCCAGTAGTCACCAAAGCAATAATTAATGCAGGAATTGTAAGGAGGCTGTCCTCTGTATGAGGGAAAGATGTGTTTTGAGCAACAAAACAGGCAGCAAGTGAAGTTGAAGTAAATAAGGGGAAATGGAGTTACATGGAACTGGATGTTATTCAAGGCAGATAGTGCTTGGGGATCTTTAAATGAACAACCAAGCCTTTGAGTCAGGAAGCAGGAATGACTTTTTTTAGCATCTCTCCTTCCCTATTAGGCAGAGAGATTCTTCTGAGTTGAATTTTGAGGTACATACCTTGGCAGAGGGTGGTGGACACAGGAAATCCTTTACTGGTGGGTCAACTCATTCTCTCCCTATCCAGGTGGGTTGTTCCCAGCTGCTGAAAGAATCTGAGAAACCACTGCAGGGAGAGGCTCCTTCTGGCCAGAATGAAAACCTGTCCAGCAATTCTCTGGGAGAGGATAGCGCTTCCATGGGTGAGTTTCAGGACCAGGAGGACTAGCTAGTGTTACTGAAAGTTTCTGTTCTGTATTACTAACTTAATGCATTATGGACTTGTATCTCTTCCTGTCAGCTCCTTAGAGACTTGAGCTATGGAACTAAGATATTTTTTTTTTGAGTGCCAGAAGATTAACAATGCTTTTTTTTTTGTTGTTGTACATAAGATCTAACACATCCTGTGTCATTACTAAGCAGGAGATTCTGAACTGTACCTGTCTTTAATGACTGTTAGGCTGTGAAGGATGTGTGGACAGAGCAGAGAGTGCAGTGATGCACTTTCACAGCCTTGTAGGATGTGAGGAATATGCTATTTTTTGCTTGTTTCATGAAGTGGTACTGACCAGGAGAAAAAAAAATGCTCTGTTCGATATCCTAGGGTCCTAATTAGGTGGAGCTTGTGCTTCTCTTTTCCCAGTTGTTTCCCCAAGCTACCTACTTACTAGATTCAGTAGAAAATAGTGCTTGGAATCTGTCTGCTCAGAAGATGAGCAATGGAATGGGGAATCATTGGGTGTGTGATGTGCTTCAGATCACCAACTGGTGTGTATTTCTGTATCTCACTAGAGCTTGACAAGAAGGCAAACTTGTTGAAGTGTGAATATTGTGGGAAGTATGCCCCAGCAAGCCAGTTCCGTGGCTCCAAGAGGTTTTGTTCCATGACCTGTGCTAAAAGGTAATAAAAGCAAGATGTAATATTCCTTATCTCTGACTACATATTTGCTGGAACTGAGCATGTGCCCCTTCTCCAAGTAGTGTACCACCTTTCAGTACATCTAATCCTCCTTCTGTGGCATGTGCTGGCCACAGCGATCCTTCAGCACTATAAGCGATTTGTAAATGTTTCTAGGTCTGGAGAGGTGGATGTAATGCCGAGTATAAATAGGATTTCTGGAGAAAATGAAGTGGGAAGGGGGAAATTCTGGGGCTATAAAGAACCTCTCTTCAGAGAAATGTGCATTTGACTGACTAAATAAATGCATACTGGTGACTAAATAAATGCATCTGATGCATTGGTACTAGACAAAGACACAAGGGAGCATTGGGTTAAAAAACTGGGGAGAAGTTGGACTAGCCCTTGCTGCCTCCTGTTGATAGCAGAGTGCTTGTTATGGGTCTTTTTTCCCTTAGGGGAATGACTTAGTTGACCTTTCAGATGTTAGATCAAGACTCTGGTGTCTAAATATTGCTTGTGTCAGAAGTCTGGACTGGTTCCTTCCAAGGGGACGTCTTAGAAGGAGGAGGAACAGGACTTGATGGTAAAGAGGAGTCTTATCCCCATCTAGAACAAGGAGAAGTAGTAGGTTTAGATAGTTGCTGCTTTCTAACTGCTGCTCTGTTTCTTCTTACCTGAGGTACAATGTCAGCTGCAGCCATCAGTTTCGGCTGCAGAGAAAGAAGATGAAGGAATTCCAGGAAGCCAACTATGCGCGTGTGCGCCGGCGGGGACCACGGCGCAGCAGCTCTGAAATTGCTCGAACAAAGATCCAGGGCAAGCGCCACAGGGTAAGGACACAAACCTGCAAGGCAGGTCTGTGTAGACTTTGTCCCTGCTGGCTGTACCACTTTGGTGGTACCACAGTGGATGCAGTCGTGCAGGATGTGCCAAGGGCACACTGACACACTTGTTACACAAGGTACAGGGAGCTGTTCAAATCCCTCTTGGACTGCAGGAAGTGTATTCATGTTTGTACTTGTTCTGTGCACTCTGTGTTCATTTCTGTGTGCATCTTGAAGGTCTCAGTGAGTGAGATCAACTGACAGCCTTGGCAGAAAACAATCCCCTTTTCCCATTTGATCAGCAGTTTTTCCCATGAATGACTTGAATTGGGCTATAGAAGAATTGAACGAGCCTCAGTTCTGATGTGAGGGAGAGGGAGCTCTTGTGTCAGCTGCCCCTGGACCAACAGCCTGAGACAGTTGTTCCAGTCTGTTGGGACAATTTCTGCTGTTCCCAGTGTCTTGTTTTGCAACTTGTAATTGTGAATTTCTTACAAAAACCCTTTTCTTTTTTTTTCTTTCTTTCCTGTGGGTTTGTAGGGCCAGGAAGACTCAAGTCGAGGCTCTGATAACTCCAGCTATGATGAAGCTTTATCCCCTACATCTCCAGGACCCCTGTCAGTTAGGGCCAGTCATGGAGAGAGGGACCTGGCAAACTCTAATATGGCCCCCCCTACCCCAGATCTACATGGCATCAACCCAGTCTTCCTGTCCAGCAATCCTAGTCGTTGGAGTGTGGAGGAAGTGTACGAGTTCATTGCATCATTGCAAGGTGAAGATCCTCTCCTGCACTCCTGTGATCCAGTAGCATGGGGAGATTGGGCTCTCTTTCTGGAAAGAAAATGGTGTCAGTGGTGCCTACTGCTTTTGAACATGTTTCTGAATTGGAGTAGATCATAGAGAGGAATTCTCAAGATTTATTTCTCAAATAGCCTGTGTGCTTAAGGAGACTGTGGACTAGAGGGGGGAAAAGGAAAGGGGTTGGTTAGATTCCTAGCTTGTTTTTCTGTACCTGCCAGAGCTGCAGAGTAGGAATGAGGGGAGTGCCCAATGCACACATCTTTCTCACTGCTTTTTTTGTTTGCTTCACAGGGTGCCAGGAAATTGCTGAGGAATTTCGGTCACAGGAAATTGATGGTCAGGCCCTGTTGCTTCTGAAGGAAGAACATCTCATGAGTGCCATGAACATCAAGCTGGGACCAGCTCTCAAGATCTGTGCCAAGATCAATGTCCTCAAGGAGACCTAAGCACTCTGAAGCCAGAGGTCTCACTTTTGCTCTGACCCCAGGGCAGCTGCCAGATTTGGAGCATCCTGCTAGGGTGGGGGGGGAAGAATGGGACAGTCCGCTGTGGTCTTGCATTCAAGAAGAATGAGAAGGAATTTAACTGATTGAAACTGCCATGCACAAGCCCATCTCTTGGTCTCTTAATGGTGCTACAAGGTTGAGGAAAACTGCCACCTGGGGCCTTTAAACAACTTTCCTTCTTCCTGATTTTGAATATGCCTCCCCTGAATACACCACACAAAGATGTTAAGGGGATCTCTTTGTGTCTTAAAAGACTGCTGAAAGGGAACTGCTCTCAACCTTTTTTGCCACAGCAGGTCTGCTAGATCTTAGCTTTGAATATCATTGCCAGAATTCAAGGCATAGGAAGAGCTGGCCCCACATGGACATTGGGACCACCTGTGCTTGGAGCTTTTATCAAGGAGCACTAGGAAATTACAAGTGACAGAGGTGACAAACAAGAACTTGAGCAAAAGGGGCTGCTGCTTTTCCACGTTTAAAGATACCTAGGCTGCTCATGAACTGGGTTTAATAGCCATTCCAGCATGCATACCAAACTTGAAGGCCTGTGGCAATAGGAGCTGTCTTGTCTTCACTCTGCATGTCTACAGGAGACAGTAAAGCTAAAGTGTTATGGCAGCTATTCACTCCAGGTGCTCCTCTCAGAACCAGTCAGAGGATTTTTCCTGAGTACTTATGACAAAGTGATGGGAAACTGAAAGGGGAGGGGATTGTTTTACATTAGGGAATCTTGCAGCACTAGGTTTGTCTTCCCATTGTGCTAGAGCATAATTTACAGATCCAAAGCAGTCTCCAGAAGCACCAAGGCTCTTCATGAAATGGGCTGGGTTTTGTTTTGTGTGTTTTCTTACCAGTTTGTATTCTTTTCTTTTTGTGTCTGTCTTCATTATCCTCAGGAGAGCTTATGGGACAAAATTTAGGCTGGCAGGATTGTACTGCTTGCCTCAGGCCTTTTTTTTTTTTTTTTT